TGTCTACATTGCTAACGTTATTCCAATTATTTATTACGTTCATCATTAGTTTTCTAAATCGTAACGTTAATATAACACTGAGGATGATTCTTTATGAATGAGCGATTTTGTATGCAACGATAGCGAGCGATTGCGAGTGAAATTCATTGCGGTTGGGATTGCTTCGGTGGATTGATAGTGTCGGATTATCGTATCAACTCCTCAGATTGAATGCTTGAAAGTCTCATTGATAGTTGCTGCAGTTATCGTCACGGATTATCGTATCAGATTGAATGCTTGAAAGTCTCATTGATAGTTGCTGCAGTTATCGTCATATGTGCGGATGTTCTTGATTGTATGAGACGAATGAAATTTTCGACAAAAAATTTCAGTGAATGGAGCCGGTTTAGCAATGGCCACAATGGATATAATTAAGTTGTATGGCGCTACACCGGCGAATTTCCTAGACGTTGGTGGAACGGTAACTGAGGAGGCCGTTGTTGCTGCCTTCAATATCATCACCTCCGATCCGAAGGTAAATTTTTGGATGTTTTTCTGTTTGGATTGGAACTGATAAATATTTGTTATTCTGAGAATGATATGTGTGAAATACTACTTGAACAGTAATGTTTGAGTGTTGATATGTTTTATTAGTTCTGTTAATAATATGATGAGATATGATTTTTGTGATTTGCAGGTGGAAGCAATTCTCGTGAATATATTTGGCGGTATCGTAAATTGTCAGCTTATTGCGAAAGGCCTAATCGGAGCGTTCAAAAAGTTAGAACTCAAAGTGCCGCTTGTTGTTCGACTTGAAGGTNTCATTTTGACAAATTTGACATAGGAAAAAGTCGAGGAAGGTTGATCGAATACCACTTAAACTATTTTAAAACTAAGATTATCTTGTTTTGAAAATTCGACCGATTCTAAACAGTTGTTTTAAAGGTACCAGAGCAAAAGAGGCTCTTCAAGACCTGAAAGCAAGTGGTTTACCACTAATAACAGCCGTAGATCTTGATGAAGCGGCCAAAAAGGTGGTTGCTTCGGTGAAGAAGTAATCATTCATTCTACTCATTGCATCATCTCATCACGTCCCTTCCGTTCCGTACAGTTCAGCATCCTCAAACGTCAACTGTACATGTGATGTAGTGTGATACTATGTGCTCTATACTAAATAATTCGATTTCATTTCAGTATAAATTCGTATTCATATTGTATATTTTGCAATATTGGTTTATTTCTTCACTCGTTTTATTAGTCCGTTGTTTTGCTTGAAGACGATACGTATTGAAGCACTCCATTTGGTTGTCAGAATCGCAGATTTTGATTTTTAATTTTAGATTGCATGAGGTTTAATTTAGATTTTATGGATTCTACAGTGTTTTTAATGAGTTTTGCGAGTGTTTTATGAGTTTGCGTGGATCTCATGTGTTATAGGAGTGGAGGGGGAAGGGTGATGATTGCGACATGAAATTGAACTTACGTTGTCTTTGAGTCGTGAATCATTTGCGAAATTCGTGGTGTTTGAATGGAAACTCATNAGTGTGCCTCAATTTGTTTCTGTTTTGGAAATAACGAGTTTATCTAATTTAAGTGTAGTCCTATTTGGAGCTTTCTTTTTCAAAAAGACAATGATTGGAGATTAGTGATATCCAATTATGAGGGATTTGAACGGACTTCACAAACGCAGGCGTATGCAAAACTGAGTTACATCTCTACAAGTATATTACTGCATCAGTTCAGACAATTTCTACTTTAGGTATTTTTCATAATCAATATATTAGTGCAGTTGAATATAACGGCGAATAGCTTATACTTTGGTGTGCTTTTTGAGTTCATCAGAATTTTATTATTCTACGTGCGTCGTTTTCAACCTTTCCAATAGATGTTTTAATGCTGACCATACAGTGATGGTGATGCTTTAAAATGGTATATGTTCGCTGATTTTTTTCATTTTTGTACTCGTGATATGTCGTGTTGTGCTGACGCTGATTTGCACTTACGGGTAATTCATATTTTTTAAAACAATTCCTCTCTCTTACATTCAATTTGCAATACAGAAATCACTTTGAATTTCCACTCATCAAATGTTCGGTTGAAAACGAGACTCGTCCATCGTTAGTGCACAAAATCAAACGTCCTGAGTCTTTATATGCATGATTCATAGTTCCAGCACTGTTTTTTTTTNTTTTTTTTTCAATTGAAAACATTCTGAGTTATTGAAATCAGATATTTGTTCAATGGGATTTATTTGATAATCACTTGAGTGAATATGAAAGTAGGGCATGCAAAGTGAGAGTATGTGGTGGTCATAGAGTATGTGAATATTCCTATGAAGGAATGCCGTTTTGTTGATTCATTATGCGATACCAAATAATTAGTGCAATGGATCCCAACGGATGGACTCATCGAATGAGCATGGCCAATAGCGGTTATGGTGATGACGGAAACTGGTATTACTGCGTGATATTATTACTGAGCTGAGCTGAAAAACCAGTTTCAAAGGTAGTATTTCATACGGCTTTGTAATACTCACCGGTTTTATAGTTTGCTTAATGTCCTTATTAGTACATAAAGCGCTAATCTCTTTGATTACTGTCCACATTTTGCCGATAGACAGGAGAATTTACGAACTTTCAATCAGTCATTGTATTATCAGTCGATATCAGTAAGTGCGATTCATTTTGGGGCGGATTTACTAATTTTGTTGAAATGTTTTCTGTTTTGGTGAAAATATTTGAATTTTTTGAACGGATGCTAGGTTTATGTCTATCATTCCTTTTATTTATAGTGACCTAATGACCATATAAATAATATGTTCCCCATGAATTGGTATAGTAATGGTTTCAGAATTTTCCATTTGTTTTGTTAATTTAAATTTCTTTAACTTTTTGTGTTGAGCCCGTTGATAAAGTTTTCGACATGAAAGAAACGCCTCGTAGATCTCACGTGAAGAGCATGCACTTATTCCTGCGATAAGATCGAGAATTTGAAGCATGGCACAGTTAGGGGTCGAACGAGTGTATGTATTCAAAAATAGCCATCATGTTCCTCATATATGTTAGTTGCATTCCCATATTTGTTGGTTACAAACAAGTTATAAAGAAGATTAAAGGATGGATATCAGTATTAATCTGTTGACCATAACGTGAATCGAACAACCTGATTAGTCACAGTTATAGTTTTTGAAACATAGTGCACAGTTGACCAATTCTATACGATAACGACTGGAAGTGGTATATAGCAGTGTTGGAATTGAATTATTCCCTTCAGTATTGAAAGTGATAGGTTCGAGTGATAAGGGTGGGATGGATTCCAGTCGAATTTATCAGCAAACGATAGAATTTCCTTGATTGCAATAATTGAGATTCTCTTCTTCCCCGGAGCTATACCGATTCATTATCATATTAAAAGATTACTGGTTATGGAAGGTATGTTGGCAATGGTTTCGATCCTACACTAAGTTTGACAAATTGTGTTGCTGCTCTCCTTTGGAATCTTGAGCTTAGACTTCGTAATGTGTTTAGGAAGTTTACCAGTTCCGTAAAAAAGTTTAGGGACTTTAAAAGATTGTGAACGTGCTTTTCCAAATGGAATCGCTGCGTTTTTGTTTGATCTAAAAATGATTTAATGGAATTAATCAGTAAAATGATAGAATTGTGATCTTGATCATGCACTTGTTGAACATGCAAATCAAGCATTAATTCTGTCATTATGTTAACCTCAACCAAATGAATGGAGATATTCTATTTCCTATGTTGTTATAACTAACGATGATGTCAACAACAACAACAGTAACAGTAATTTTAGGATGTCATAAAAATAAGTAGTCAATAATCCATTAAACTGTGATCGCATATGAATAACGCACCAATAAAACATAAAACATAAAGGTACTCAATAGGGCGGGCGATCCAATGAAACGATCTGAAGAGTGGATATTAGCGTGTGCAATAGCAAATCCATATGACTGTCCTCAACTGAAACGCCCTCAGTGACGACGGTCTCAAATCATTTTGGTTCATTTGATCGTAATTGTGTTACAACGATCACACTTTGATCCTCTATTTCATCGTTCACTCCGGTTGTATACAATATATCCAAACGTATATATTGCTGCTAATTCTGCTGCTGCTGGCTTTATCAACCAATAATATCATATCATGATGATTCTTCGTTTACTTCCCTTCTCGCTACCTTTGATATTTGCCTGTGCTCCACCTGGTTTCGTGCCCAGTCAAGATCCAAGTAGGTCTTTACTGAATATTCCTTCAAGATGCCCGTTTCAATTTCATTCTCACCAACGACATTCGAAACAGTCATTAATCGCTTTCATAGTTATCTTTATCATTTAGAACACAATCAGCATCATCAGTAAGATTCATATTCTGTGCATGTTCATTGCTCTCATGATGATCCCATCTGTCAAGGTTGCTATATGAAATTCAGTAGTGCCAACATGAACCTGAAAGCGGGTCTCCGCGTTCAGTTCACATTACTGATTGGTATTTTCCCTCGCTAATAAATTGGGTTTTGCTTTTATTATCAGTCAATCATATTTTCAAAGCTGTGCGGAAATAAGTGCGTAGATGTGTTGAAAAAATACAAACCTGAACCCTGAATCATATTACAAAGCAAAATCAAAATTGTTGAACCTTTTAATTTTCCCATTCAAATTCCAACAATAACTCGAAAACTTTGATGAGGCAATTGCTGTTAAATGAAAGTGAACAATGCCATAAATGACTGATTTCAAACAAAATTCAAATTCCTGTTTTAATTACCAGTTGATTCATTCATAAATTTGGGCCATCAAAAATGATACTGCAAACAAAGCGAGTAATTTTGATGATAAATGGATGATCGTTTAGCATGAGTTGAAGCAGTAAAGTTGGTTCAACAACCTTTTCGTTTTACCATTAAAAAAATGAGCAATTTTATAGACACCAAAAACTTTGGCATTCAATATGAATGTGTCATTCGCTTGATCTGAAAGAGGATTAAAGTGTTTTGAACCGCGCTAAAAAAGAACTGAACGATAAGAGCGTTAATGCACACTGCGGAATTGAATTTACTTTTCCTTGTTCACATTTAACTATTCGCTCATTTTGAATTACTCAAATAATTGGAATTTTCGGATATTTATAAATCTTATCTTTACTTGTGATGCTTAAGCTCGACTTTCCCGCAATCTATGAGGAAAACTTTGTGTTTCAACGAATTATCAGTGAGTCAATGCACATACACTCACAGTCAGCAGCGAGTTGAATTGCTGCTACAAACACTCATAACTGGATACATACATAAATGACTGGTCGAAAGTTGCAATCGAATTAAGGACGTAATGAACAATAACTTTCAGCTTTTGTGAACGCGAGGTGTTCGGATTTAATATTGTATCCAGTATCAGCGGTTGATCAGAGTGATCAGTATCGATTCGATTACAGCGATGTGAGCTTTGGCAATACCCATAGCCAAGGTGCTACGGTTGCGATTACGTGCACAACTGGTGGTCAACCAGCCACGGTTGAAGGTTATGATCAGGTGAGCGAGACATGAGCGCTTATCACTCAATCAGTGACAGCGATAGTATAACTCAGTGGATGATTGGTGTCATTCGCTGTGGTTGTCATCATTATCGGCAAAGTTTTTTGTGATTGATCAGTGCAAAGGAAAGGCAAAATTATGTGGTCAAATTAATGACTGCGGTCAAATTAACGATAAAAGACTGGCTAATGCAATCGCGTAAATTTATGCGACAGATGTTCTCATGAAAATTTCTGTCGCAGTAACATTTCGTATCAGCTCGATTATTTTCCTGTCATTCACTGTACTAAATTCATGT